CTGCATGCCATAAGAGTGTAAAGGAAAAATTTTAATTTTCTATGAGGAGTAAAGATAAAGTAACTATTTACTACTGATGAAAAAACTAATAGTTAATATATAGTCGGTGAACTCTTTCTTTTTGGATTATTTTTTTCTGAAATATATCTTTTTAAATAAAATATAGAAAAGAAAAGTCTTTATTCACTTTATTTATTAAATTAGACATTTTTATTATTCACGGTTACAAAGTTATCATCTTTTGTGATATCATGTTGATCACATTTTCAACCACGTTTATTACCATTTTTCTAAGGTCGAACCACTCGGTCTCATCAAGAGACATCTCATATTATGAGTCGCAATTCACCGTATCTCTTGAAGGATCAATGATATCTGGATAGATGCAGTGGTTGTCATAACTTAAGAAGCAACTATTAAAGTAGAATAGTGCAAAGGTAGAAGGGAAGCAGTGTAAGGACTTGGTGTGTGTGACATTGGTTACCCATGAATAATAAATAGGTATACTTTAAGAATTTTTTTTATCAAAATAAACCTATTGTTAGAAGTTAAAGATAAAATTAGTTTAAAAAAGATAAGTAAAAATATTACTAATTAATTTTGTGAGATCGAATTCAATTTAAAGTTTATTTTTAATATGATATTAAAGTTATGATTTAGAATATATTTTTTAAAGTGTTTAGTCTTATATTTAATATTTAATATATATATAAATATTTGTTAAAAGTCTAGTATTAACTAAAAATAAATTAAAATTAAAATATATAAATAAATGGAAAGATTAAGACAATTTTAAACTTAAAATTTGCTTATTAATTTTATTGTAAAATAAATTATCCAAATAAACTCCTTCTGTCTTTCTAAACTAAACACCATTTAGTATTCATATGCTGAGAATTCAGTCCGCGTATAGCTGAAGTCTCGAAAACAGTACAACTAGATTCTTTTTTTCCTATATTTTTTTTTGTTGGTAAAAAGAAGGTATGGAGGGTTGTTTCTTATTGATGATTTGACTCTCCGAATGCCAAATTTTCAATGTAAGCAATAAACAGGTCTAATTTAGGAATTAAATTGAGAATAAATTTATTTAGGTAATTTAAAAAAAAATATTTTTTAGAAAAAGAAATCCTAGTTTGATGAATGAAATGGATTTAAGTTTAATTGATTAAATATTTAAAATAATATTGTGTTAGAAAAACATTCATTTTTATATTTCTCTGTCCAAAACTTACATTATTTATTTATTTTCAATTAAATAATATATTTAATTATTTTCAGATAAACCCAGTACAAAATTACGTGCTTATGAGAGGAATATATGAGAGGCACTTACACACAGTGGTTTATGTTTTGAATAGTTGATTTAAAGAAGGCGCATGCCTAAAGCAATAGGAAGATTTATGCGGCTGAAGTTAATTTCGTTTTGAAAAATGAAGTCCTTAATTAAAGTGGATATAGTTAATTAATGAGATATTAATTTAAATATTGATTTGGCCGTATCTGTAACCGTCCATCCACTCCCGAGTTGAGAATTCATGGATCTTGCTTTGCTTTGCTTCCACTCACAGCTTCTCAACTCACCATATTGCTCACTCTATCTTTCTCTATCGCCGCCCAAACTCATCCCACTTTTTCTCATCATGCTTCACCAGTTTCTTCCTCATGCCAGTTTTCTACTTTTCTCTTACTTAATTGCTTTCCATTGCCGCCTCACAATTCAAATCTCGACCACAGTTTTATGGTTTTTAACTAAACAACATTCTTAATTCCTGTCGCTCTTTCTTTTTCTTCTCTTTTCTTTATTACACTCTCGCTAATTTTCCGTTTATTAAGCTAACACGTTCAGTTAATCAAAGTTACAGCTTAAAGCGCGAGCTATATGTCTAGTGATGTTAAAAAGTGCTACATTTAACATGCAAAAAGTTGCTCCTCAAAACTGAATCCTGTGTTTAAATTAAATGGTTTTACCTATCATAATAACCCAAAAAGAAAAAGGAAAGTATGCCTTAATTAAAGGTAAGTGGCTGACTTTTGCAGCAATTGGCCTACCCAAGTTGACAAATAATGTATTTAAAATACTCAAATCATGGATCACGTTCGTGCCACCCATATACCATCTACACTATATATCCATATACGTACTTCTATACCCCACTTTTTCCAATATATATCTCATAACATTTGGTATATATTTTCTATAATTGTCAATAAAAAAATTTACTTAGTTTAATCTTTGTTGGTTACAAGGAAGACAGTCTTTTCACATTGATGATTGAGTTAAGTATTAATTAGAGCTTTAAGATAGAAAACCAAGAAATTTATATAAAAAAATAACTTATAAATTGGGTTAAATATATTTTTAAAACTTAAATTATTAATTAAAATTATATTTTATCTTATTTCACCCTTACATAAAAGAATATAAAATGTTATCAATAACAAATAAAACTAAAAACATTAAAGTATATCCTCTCTTCCCTGCAATCCTTTCTCTTCTTACAACTCTCTCTTCATTGTAATTTTCTCTAGACCCATCCATCATCACCATAAAGACAATTCCAAGAAAAAGAGAAAATTGCAAGAAGAAATGAGAAACTCTGATATCGTTAGTCGTCGTTTATTATTAAATACATTTTATATTCTTTATAAAATGTAAAAATAAAATTAATACATATTTTTAAAGCGAGAAAAATATAATTTTAATTAATATTCTAGGAATGAAAAACATATTTAAAAATTATATCTTAATATTTTAAGTTAAATATGTTTATATTTTATATTGATTAATTTATAACTTATTGGCATGAATGTCGCCAAATAACCTATTGGTAATAGGTTTAGCGTCTTTACCGAACCCTAGAATTTTTATGATTTTTTGAAATAGAAGTATGTAAAAGAGTTTTTTGTTGCCAAACTGGACCATTTTGAATACGAATAGATCCAGGTGAAGCTTGAAGTGGTAAAGAAAGAGAATTTTTCGGAGCATTACGATAACTTTTCTTTCTGTGTCTTGTCTTTCTTTTATAATGGACTTCTAACTTTTTTTTTCTCATATATAGGTTTTTGAGGTAACTGCTTTCCTAATTTTAGGTATTCTGTTATTATTAGTTTGTAATATGTTTGGTTTTACATACTTGGTATGATTATTCATTTCCACGTAATTTGTTTTTGATGAATTTTCGTGACATTAGATAAAAAAAAAAAAGGTAGTATTTTAATGATTTTAGCCTTATTCTGGTCGAGAATGATATATTCCTCGTATAATTTTTAGGAATTATTTTACTCAAAAATCTCATAAATTAATTTAGGAGTAATGACTCGTGATAGTTTATAAAAACTTTTTGTCCTTCAATCCACTAAAACATAATTTTAGGACAAAATGATATCATAATATAAAATTTAACCATACCTCAATTCTATCCATTTCACGAACTATTAGTATTTCTGCACTCTTACATTTTTTTAGTATAGCTTCAATGACATTCGAACATTTTTTGCTGTCATGACATTTGAACATTAAATTCCCAATGGATATTTTGTAAATTGGATTACAGTAGCACTTAATCCCTGTATGTCAAATTCATAACACGGCAATTAGGTACCGATGTGTCCGTGTGCTTGTTTAGAACAATATCATATTTATGTTTATTGTCCCCTTTTGGGTGCTCTAAAACCATTGTCTATAGTCACAAATTATATGTAGATATATATAAATAAGTCATCCTCATGGTGACCGGGTTGAATTTATAATATATGTACTCTTGTTGACAATGAACAATACTCTCTAAATAAATATATATGTAAATTAATTTTAAGTTGATGAATGTAATTGAAATGTGTAATTAGATTAATGCAAAACCGCATAGTAGTCCTGTCCATATTAATAATGTAAATCGCACAGTTGAGTTTTGTAACATACAAAAATCTTTTCCAGTTACAATACTGTTTTTTGTTCTGACAAATATTGTAAACTACATATTTATATTGAAAAGTGTATTTGTTTTTTGTTAACTTTATAATGAACAGGGCTTCAATTCAATATTACCTATAGGATACGGAACACTGATATTTAATACAACGTACGAAGTCTATATATCTGTTTGAGAACAAGGTTTATAGGAAGAGAAATGAATTATCCTACCCTGCATGCCATAAGAGTGTAAAGGAAAAATTTTAATTTTCTATGAGGAGAAAATAAAGTAACTATTTACTACTGATGAAAAAACTAATATTAATATATAGTCGGGTGAACTCTTTCTTTTTGGATTATTTTTTTCTGAAATATATCTTTTTAAATAAAATATAGAAAAGAAAAGTCTTTATTCACTTTATTTATTAAATTAGACATTTTTATTATTCACGGTTACAAAGTTATCATCTTTTGTGATATCATGTTGATCACATTTTCAACCACGTTTATTACCATTTTTCTAAGGTCGAACCACTCGGTCTCATCAAGAGACATCTCATATTATGAGTCGCAATTCACCGTATCTCTTGAAGGATCAATGATATCTGGATAGATGCAGTGGTTGTCATAACTTAAGAAGCAACTATTAAAGTAGAATAGTGCAAAGGTAGAAGGGAAGCAGTGTAAGGACTTGGTGTGTGTGACATTGGTTACCCATGAATAATAAATAGGTATACTTTAAGAATTTTTTTTATCAAAATAAACCTATTGTTAGAAGTTAAAGATAAAATTAGTTTAAAAAAGATAAGTAAAAATATTACTAATTAATTTTGTGAGATCGAATTCAATTTAAAGTTTATTTTTAATATGATATTAAAGTTATGATTTAGAATATATTTTTTAAAGTGTTTAGTCTTATATTTAATATTTAATATATATATAAATATTTGTTAAAAGTCTAGTATTAACTAAAAATAAATTAAAATTAAAATATATAAATAAATGGAAAGATTAAGACAATTTTAAACTTAAAATTTGCTTATTAATTTTATTGTAAAATAAATTATCCAAATAAACTCCTTCTGTCTTTCTAAACTAAACACCATTTAGTATTCATATGCTGAGAATTCAGTCCGCGTATAGCTGAAGTCTCGAAAACAGTACAACTAGATTCTTTTTTCCTATATTTTTTTTTGGACACGCAGTCATCACCTGTAGAAAAGGATAATTCATCACTGACTTTTCAGTTTTGATGCAATAGTAAACAAAAGTAGTGGTTTGTTTTGTGACCAACCATTGGAAATGACCGAATTGTATATTTTCACGTCATTGGTATTTTCTATGTGTATTCCATCAGTGTTGGGGCTGAGTGCTGGAGCTGTTATGTATATTGATTCCACGTGGACGCTTTCGCAGCCATCGAATCTGAAGTGGAACTGGGGGCTGTTCTTGATTTTAAGTCCTTGTACACTCAAGTTGGAACTCATGAAAAACCTTATGGCCTGCAACATCCCGAGTTTTACATTACGTTTCAACAGTTACTTTCAATCAAAATGCTACCTGTACTTGTGTTTGAAGTACTTACAACAGGGCTGTCGCAAGGTCCTGGAGATGTTGTCCCATGGGGTCCCTGTGCCATTTTATCAAATGGGTCAGTGTTTGAAGCATCAAGATTGAATCTTTTTTTTTTCTTAATATTTCTAAAGCATCAATAGTATACCTTATGAGGCTTACAAGGGAGGTCCCACCATTTTTCTCCTCTACCATCTATTAAACCGCTTCCTTCAAGTGACAAGCCATTGATTCTATAAAAGACAAGCCATTGACGCTTACTGGTGTTCTTTGGCCAAGAGTCAGGTCCATCTGGTGGCATGAGAGTGCCATCAACCTTTTTTCACAACAAAGTTAATTAGCGAGCATTACCCTTAACCATTTGTAAGAAACACTGTAAATTTTATTACACTGTAAAAGGTTTATCATGGTATAAAAACCTCTTACATTAACTATATTAAGTGTACAAAGATTAAACTGTAAGAAGAAAAAAAAACGTTGCAATTTGCAAAGTACATTCATTACCTTTAGTACTAAGCCACCTTTACAAGGACCTGTGAAGATAGCAGATTGAATGACGAAGGAGAGACCTTGGGGAACGAGGATAACTTTAACAGCCGATTCACTTTGGCAGGCAGTGTCCCATGCCATCTTGAATGACTCTGTAGCATCAGTTACTCCATCTCCAATGGCCCCAAATGCTCGAACATCAAACAGGTTATTAGATGTATTCTGGTAGTTGTCATCAACAGAGGGGCTAGGACAAGGAGCTTCATCAGGGGGGCTAGAAGGTCCAGAGAATGGAGAAGGAGATGGTGAAATTTCAGGTGCATTATGATAATTCGAGTGTTTGTGTTTTTTATGGTAATGGTACCTAGCTTGGGAGGGAAGAAACAAAGTAAGAAAATATAAAGACAATGCTAGTGGTAAAATATGAGAATGCCTCATTGTGAGTATATTGTAGCACAGTAGTTAAAAATGGGCTTAAAAAGGTTTAGATGCTAAAACTTGGAAAACAAGAGACTCTGATTGGCTTTGTGGCTGTCAGCAGCAAGACGAAAGGAATAAAGAGTCTAATTTTGGAGTAATTGGGCACCCTGAGTTTTGGGAAATTGAAAGAAAGCAGTGAGCTCTAGTGGCACTAGTGCACAAGTTGCAACAAGTTTAATTCTGAGTTGGGCCCTTGGAGTACATGCAGAATCAGAAAGCCTGAGTTACTATATATAATAAGAAGGCATAGTGGACAATATGTTAAGTTTCATCGGCACATTATGAATATTTTATTGGTTTTGGAAGTGGAAACCGACAAATACTACATAGGCATTGGCCTCCTCTTAGAGATTGTGGAGTCTGCATATGACAATTCTGAAAAGAGCAAAAAGGAATAACTAGAAGCAGGCTGGGTACTAGACAAACCTCCCATGTTCTTCCCATTACTTTTTTGTCCCATAACTAAGAGGGATTTCTTATGGATAATATTTCTTAAGACAAAGTAATTATATTACATAAATTCTTGTTTTTATTTATTGGCAGTAATACATTTTTAATGTTTTTAAATAATTAAGACACTAAATATTTATAACTAATCAATGTCCGGAGTCACTCTCTTTTACAGAATCTTCACTACTGATATGAAATACTTACATAAATTTAGCTTAGCAGTGAGTTATGTGAAATAAAAAGGCAATTATAGTAATTTTGATAATTAATTATCAACTAACTATAGTAATTGTGATAATTAATTATCAACTAACTATGGTAGTTAATGATGTGATTGATGTGTGCTATTTTGCACTCATCGATCAATGTGTAGGCATAATTTTTTTTATTAAAATAATAATATTCATGGTTGTTAAATGAAAGTATAAAATGTGATGAATGTCAAACTATAATTTATCCTTATAAGTAAAAACTTGTAAATTATTACTATTTACTAGTTTTCTCCTTAATGTTGTAGTTTTAGTCTCTAACAAAATTTTAAATTAACTTAGATTCTCTATTTTTTTAAGTTGACTACTCGTTTTAGAGAATATTTATCGAAAGAATAACATTATTTTAGTAATTTTGTTTTAAAAAGTAATACATTTGCTAACTCTTGTTAAAAAAACTTGTTAGAAAAAGATTTTGAGATGATATATACTATATAGCTTCAATGACATTCGAACATTTTTTGCTGTCATGACATTTGAACATTAAATTCCCAATGGATATTTTGTAAATTGGAATACAGTAGCACTTAATCCCTGTATGTCAAATTCATAACACGGCAATTAGGTAACGATGTGTCCGTGTGCTTGTCTAGAACAATATCATATTTATGTTTATGGTCCCTTTTGGGTGCTCTAAAACCATGTCTATAGTCACAAATTATATGTAGATATATATAAATAATTCATCCTCATGGTGACCGGGTTGAATTTATAATATAATTGTACTCTTGTTGACAATGAACAATACTCTCTAAATAAATATATATGTAAATTAATTTTAAGTTGATGAATGTAATTGAAATGTGTAATTAGATTAATGCAAAACCGCATAGTAGTCCTGTCCATATTAATAATGTAAATCGCACAGTTGAGTTTTGTAACATACAAAAATCTTTTCCAGTTACAATATGTTTTTTGTTCTGACAAATATTGTAAACTACATATTTATATTGAAAAGTGTATTTGTTTTTTGTTAACTTTATAATGAACAGGGCTTCAATTCAATATTACCTATAGGATACGGAACACTGATATTTAATACAACGTACGAAGTCTATATATCTGTTTGAGAACAAGGTTTATAGGAAGAGAAATGAATTATCCTACCCTGCATGCCATAAGAGTGTAAAGGAAAAATTTTAATTTTCTATGAGGAGTAAAGATAAAGTAACTATTTACTACTGATGAAAAAACTAATAGTTAATATATAGTCGGTGAACTCTTTCTTTTTGGATTATTTTTTTCTGAAATATATCTTTTTAAATAAAATATAGAAAAGAAAAGTCTTTATTCACTTTATTTATTAAATTAGACATTTTTATTATTCACGGTTACAAAGTTATCATCTTTTGTGATATCATGTTGATCACATTTTCAACCACGTTTATTACCATTTTTCTAAGGTCGAACCACTCGGTCTCATCAAGAGACATCTCATATTATGAGTCGCAATTCACCGTATCTCTTGAAGGATCAATGATATCTGGATAGATGCAGTGGTTGTCATAACTTAAGAAGCAACTATTAAAGTAGAATAGTGCAAAGGTAGAAGGGAAGCAGTGTAAGGACTTGGTGTGTGTGACATTGGTTACCCATGAATAATAAATAGGTATACTTTAAGAATTTTTTTTATCAAAATAAACCTATTGTTAGAAGTTAAAGATAAAATTAGTTTAAAAAAGATAAGTAAAAATATTACTAATTAATTTTGTGAGATCGAATTCAATTTAAAGTTTATTTTTAATATGATATTAAAGTTATGATTTAGAATATATTTTTTAAAGTGTTTAGTCTTATATTTAATATTTAATATATATATAAATATTTGTTAAAAGTCTAGTATTAACTAAAAATAAATTAAAATTAAAATATATAAATAAATGGAAAGATTAAGACAATTTTAAACTTAAAATTTGCTTATTAATTTTATTGTAAAATAAATTATCCAAATAAACTCCTTCTGTCTTTCTAAACTAAACACCATTTAGTATTCATATGCTGAGAATTCAGTCCGCGTATAGCTGAAGTCTCGAAAACAGTACAACTAGATTCTTTTTTTCCTATATTTTTTTTTGTTGGTAAAAAGAAGGTATGGAGGGTTGTTTCTTATTGATGATTTGACTCTCCGAATGCCAAATTTTCAATGTAAACAATAAACAGGTCTAATTTAGGAATTAAATTGAGAATAAATTTATTTAGGTAATTTAAAAAAAAATATTTTTTAGAAAAAGAAATCCTAGTTTGATGAATGAAATGGATTTAAGTTTAATTGATTAAATATTTAAAATAATATTGTGTTAGAAAAACATTCATTTTTATATTTCTCTGTCCAAAACTTACATTATTTATTTATTTTCAATTAAATAATATATTTAATTATTTTCAGATAAACCCAGTACAAAATTACGTGCTTATGAGAGGAATATATGAGAGGCACTTACACACAGTGGTTTATGTTTTGAATAGTTGATTTAAAGAAGGCGCATGCCTAAAGCAATAGGAAGATTTATGCGGCTGAAGTTAATTTCGTTTTGAAAAATGAAGTCCTTAATTAAAGTGGATATAGTTAATTAATGAGATATTAATTTAAATATTGATTTGGCCGTATCTGTAACCGTCCATCCACTCCCGAGTTGAGAATTCATGGATCTTGCTTTGCTTTGCTTCCACTCACAGCTTCTCAACTCACCATATTGCTCACTCTATCTTTCTCTATCGCCGCCCAAACTCATCCCACTTTTTCTCATCATGCTTCACCAGTTTCTTCCTCATGCCAGTTTTCTACTTTTCTCTTACTTAATTGCTTTCCATTGCCGCCTCACAATTCAAATCTCGACCACAGTTTTATGGTTTTTAACTAAACAACATTCTTAATTCCTGTCGCTCTTTCTTTTTCTTCTCTTTTCTTTATTACACTCTCGCTAATTTTCCGTTTATTAAGCTAACACGTTCAGTTAATCAAAGTTACAGCTTAAAGCGCGAGCTATATGTCTAGTGATGTTAAAAAGTGCTACATTTAACATGCAAAAAGTTGCTCCTCAAAACTGAATCCTGTGTTTAAATTAAATGGTTTTACCTATCATAATAACCCAAAAAGAAAAAGGAAAGTATGCCTTAATTAAAGGTAAGTGGCTGACTTTTGCAGCAATTGGCCTACCCAAGTTGACAAATAATGTATTTAAAATACTCAAATCATGGATCACGTTCGTGCCACCCATATACCATCTACACTATATATCCATATACGTACTTCTATACCCCACTTTTTCCAATATATATCTCATAACATTTGGTATATATTTTCTATAATTGTCAATAAAAAAATTTACTTAGTTTAATCTTTGTTGGTTACAAGGAAGACAGTCTTTTCACATTGATGATTGAGTTAAGTATTAATTAGAGCTTTAAGATAGAAAACCAAGAAATTTATATAAAAAAATAACTTATAAATTGGGTTAAATATATTTTTAAAACTTAAATTATTAATTAAAATTATATTTTATCTTATTTCACCCTTACATAAAAGAATATAAAATGTTATCAATAACAAATAAAACTAAAAACATTAAAGTATATCCTCTCTTCCCTGCAATCCTTTCTCTTCTTACAACTCTCTCTTCATTGTAATTTTCTCTAGACCCATCCATCATCACCATAAAGACAATTCCAAGAAAAAGAGAAAATTGCAAGAAGAAATGAGAAACTCTGATATCGTTAGTAGTCGTTTATTATTAAATACATTTTATATTCTTTATAAAATGTAAAAATAAAATTAATACATATTTTTAAAGCGAGAAAAATATAATTTTAATTAATATTCTAGGAATGAAAAACATATTTAAAAATTATATCTTAATATTTTAAGTTAAATATGTTTATATTTTATATTGATTAATTTATAACTTATTGGCATGAATGTCGCCAAATAACCTATTGGTAATAGGTTTAGCGTCTTTACCGAACCCTAGAATTTTTATGATTTTTTGAAATAGAAGTATGTAAAAGAGTTTTTTGTTGCCAAACTGGACCATTTTGAATACGAATAGATCCAGGTGAAGCTTGAAGTGGTAAAGAAAGAGAATTTTTCGGAGCATTACGATAACTTTTCTTTCTGTGTCTTGTCTTTCTTTTATAATGGACTTCTAACTTTTTTTTTCTCATATATAGGTTTTTGAGGTAACTGCTTTCCTAATTTTAGGTATTCTGTTATTATTAGTTTGTAATATGTTTGGTTTTACATACTTGGTATGATTATTCATTTCCACGTAATTTGTTTTTGATGAATTTTCGTGACATTAGATAAAAAAAAAAAAGGTAGTATTTTAATGATTTTAGCCTTATTCTGGTCGAGAATGATATATTCCTCGTATAATTTTTAGGAATTATTTTACTCAAAAATCTCATAAATTA